ACAGTTGAGGGGTCCACAAGATTAACTCAAGTGTTTCTGCAGAATTCAGCACTGAAACGTTATTTTTCAAACCTCAGGGGCTTTGTGTGTTGTTTGCATGTAGTTTTGACTATTGTCTTGAGGAATGTTAACATATTCCTGGACCCATTTTATGCATTTCCTTTGAATAGCTGTGAGCTCTACACAAATCCCACATGAATGCCACAAACCATTAAAATTCAGAAGTTGGTGAGACTTCAAAGTCCATCTAAAATAAACTAAATAAATGAACAAACAAAATTAAATACAGATATTCATCAGAGAAATGAAACTTTGGAGAGTTCTCTCCCCACCCCGCCCCACCCCACCCCACCTCATTGTTTCCCCACTTCTGTGGTCACAGTGGTTAAGAATGCAGCTGGGGAGGTAACTGTGAATGGGAAGACAACTGACTTCTTATATGTGGCTGTCCAGATGTGCTATTCTCTCAGGGATGCAGTGTCTACCTCTGTCTGAACATCCTAGCCTAACATTCTTCTTTCCTGAATGGCAATGAGAAAGCACATTGACAAATACAATCTAATCTGTTAATATGTTGATTAATTCGCTCCACATTTATGATTGATGATTGAGTGCTTTCTAGACCTTAGGTACTATATTTAACCCCAATAAACCCCAATAAGTCATAGTCCTCTCTGCCAGAGTGCTTAGAAGCCCAAAGGGGGAGTCAGACAAATTAAGTAATTACAAATGAGTGTGGGGACAATATAGGTAGGTAGAAGGTGCTATAAGATTCCTATTTAAACCCCGATATACACATGAAATTTATTATGCCACACCCTTGATTAAAATTCTCTCAAGTACCCCTATTCCTTGCAGACTAATAAAAACTTCTTAGTCTTGTATGTCAAATGCTTAACCATCGACCCCGCCAATTTTGCCAAGTGTCTTCTCAACCACTGCTTGGCAGACTCTCTGGACTAGGAATGTTAAGCTAAGTAGATCCCTGGAGATGGCTTCTACTGAATCATCTGCCAAATGTCCCAGTGCTCTCCATTCTCCCAGTGAGATACACTGACACCCACATTGAGACTTGGCTGCTAGCAGGCTGACCTATAGTACACACTGCACCCAGCAAGTGAGACATAACCTCTCAAAAATCAGTTGCATGGGTGCTCAAACTCGTTTAGGCCATTCGTGCTTTTTATTGTATATTATACATGTCTGTGTTTGTATGTACATATTATGCAAGCTGAGGAAATATGAGTATGCGAAGAAAGACTGATATTGATCTATGAGAACTACCTTGAATGGTTTGAAAAGGTTTGATGAAGGCATATTAAAAGAACATTGCTAGCATAGGATTGGAAAAGTGATGTTAAAAGATTGCGATGAGGGGATACCTTTAAACAGTTAGGCATCTGCACTTAGAGTTTTTTTTAAAGTGTTTGAAAGTTCTGTTCCATTAAAAAAAAAAAAGCAAAATTAGAAAGGGTAAATGAGATGTTGTGGTGTGTGTTATCTACGAAAGACAACATGGAACCACAGTCGATGTCCCCTCACCCAAAGGAATGGCCTTGGCCTTGTAACGAGAGCGGTGATTGAACATGCAGACATATGTTTTTGATTAAAATAAAATGTTATCAGCTGATACATATTATTTTTTATGAAAGTGCCCTGTGGCTGACTTTTGGAAGTAACCACTAACACCCTACTGTTTCCAGCTGAGACAGAGGAGAAGACATTGCCCAGCTCATTTGTAACTCCCTGAATATTCCATATCCTGTCATAGCCCCATGACTTTGAGCATGCTGTTTCCCCTGCTAGAAAACACTGTTTTTGTTCTCCAGGCTCCTTCATCTGACACACACCTATCTACTCTGCAACTTCCTCCATATTACTCTTCCTGGCGCTTCTTCCCTTAGGCATCCTGTGTGTGTGTGTCCTTTTTTTTTTTTTTTCACCAGCAGCAGAACCTCACTATTTGGGGAATGCCTCACTCTATAAGGCAGAGCCTGCCTCTTACTATAGAAGATGAAAACGATTAGCTATTCTCTTCTCTGCTCCCTATTGCTAGCGTTCAGGCACATGAGATAGGCGTAGTTGCAGTGGACCACAGTCTTGAGCTCTGCCTTTAATCTGGCAACCAGTGATGCAAAGTCACCAGACGGTGCTGTGAGTCCACTCTGAGGCTGGTGGTGGCAGTGGTAGGGATGAGGAGTGACTCTGTGGTCTCTGCGTTTGGTTCTTTGACCCTCCCAGATAGATAGCCCTCTCATAGCCTTTAATCAATTCCCTTTCTGCTCAAAGTAGCTAAAATGGATTTTTATTACTTAAAGCTAAGAATCTTGGTAATACTTTGCTTTAAAGTAATGATACAACATTGCAACTGTTCCTATCTATGTGTTTTTGTCCCCACATGATCATGAGTGGGAACATCCCATCTTATCTCTGTAAGCCCAGTGCCCAGCATAGAGCAAAGTAAGGGAAAGCAGATCTTTAATAAACTTCTGTTAATTCATTAATGTGTAAATTAATCACTTAATTGATGAAAAATGTTCCCCTGAAAATCCAAACCCACATAATGACAGCAAATGACACCAAAATGTTTCCAGTGGCTGAGGAGAACTGTGGCCCATTGTGGATATCGCGCTACCCATATTTCTCACAGAAGACAAGTCGTGGAGAGTTTTATAGAATTTAATTAAATACGAGGTGGTAATACATGTCAGTTACTTATATACTTAGCAGCTCTGCGAAATGTTTGTAATGCATGTGGAAAGTACTCAGTCAAATCAGAGACCCTCGCTGTAGTAGACAATGGATATTTTAAAGAATAACTCCAAAGAAAAACCACTGAGATGGCAGAAATGCCATCTGATCTTCATCGTTTTACTTGTTCATCCATGTATTATCACCATCTCCCTGGCGGGTTCTGTCTTACTTCTAGCAATGCTATGAAAACACAAGTATGTGCATTTAAAACAGCCTACACTTGGCTTTCTGAAACAAATTCCCATTAAATCAGAATGACAGGAGATGCAAAGGCTGGTAGAAAATCAACCCAATTAGCCAGGGCTCCCGAGATCCAGATGTGGTTGTTTAATTAACCAAATTAGCTGCCTGTTTATCAGTTTTCTTTCCATTTCATGCTATACAGAACTAGCAGTTTTCATTTCTGATTTATACATTGTCTCTGACCAGAAGTTTTTCTTGCTTAGTAAAAAAAGAGGTTGATTAGAGCAAATTTGTAACCTTATATTATACATTGTCTCTGAGTACATAATCAAGCATTAGCAGCAGTTATATGATAGGAGTATAATAAATGGATTTTAAATGTCTCCAGTAACAGACAGACATTCACACACTAAATTCAAATTATAACCTATGTCAAGCAGCACTGAAATAGAGGATTTTGAAGCTGGAAGGATCTCGACTTTTCTCCTCATTTATTTCTTTAAGAGATTGTTTATTTTTTCAGGGATACAAATTTATGGCTTCCAGTCCTGATTTAACATGTAAGGCTGAGAAATTTACCTGTCTTCTCTGTGTCTCAATTTTTCCATAAGTCAGAAATAATAACAACAAATACTTCATAGGGCCTCTCTGAATAAGGTACAAGAAAGCTAGGTTGGGCATGCGGTTTTGTGGGATGACCTCCCCTTTGAGGTCACCTTGGCTCCTATTTCTGCAAAAGGTAAAGAATACACGTCCATCTGGTGGAAGATGTCTTCTGCATTTACACACGGGGCAGATTCTGCTTTTCCACTATATGCAAATATCACTTTTGTATTTTCCCTGTCTCCTATGGTGCACTTTGAATATGCCTTCATTATAGGATTTCATATTATTATAATCATGTGTTTACAAAGCTGCCACTTTCATTAAAATTCACTTAATAAGGGCAGGGTCCCAGCCTTCTTTGTCTGAGGTCCCTTGTGCCTATCACTATGGTTGGCACGTAGCAGTCTTTCCATAAATACTTGTCAAAAAAAAAAAAAGAAAGAAAGAAAGATAATGTTTATGGAAGTGCTTTGAAAATCACAAAGCACAAAGCAAATGTAAGGGATTATGGGATTATATTCATTACTACTGATTCATTCCTACTTGAAAAATACAACACCCGATCGAAGAATAAGATAATATGATTACTATTAGGTTTCTAAATAAACAGATTATGTCTATTGGTCCACTATTTAAACTCCCATCATAGACATCATAAAACAAACAAAAAAACCCCAAGAGAATTAAAAACAGTCTCCTCCCCCCACAACAAACTAAAAGCAGAACAAAGAAAAAATGCAAAACATAAACAACAACAATGACAATTAACTCCAAATAGAAACCAGGATCTAGGTACTTCTTTACTTCCCTATACTGCCTCTGCCCAGCCTGGTTCTGTGTCCACCTCTGGCCTGCGGACCTGTGGGAGAGGGGTCAGCTGCACTCCCCCAGGCTGAGACTTCTCAACTGCCTTGACTTGGTTTGAGATAGTAGTAGTTTATCTACACCAAGAAATGTAAGAGGACACACATCCAGTGTTAATGTCTCTGCCCTGCATCTTCAAGAATGTGGTTTACTCAGTGAGTGTGCTTTTTATTACATTGTCTCCCTGAAGTTTGTGGCAACACCTGTGACTGTGGAACTCAGGATGATTTGAGGGTGAATTTGGGTTGGGCGGATCTCTACACACATAGAAGGATTATTCCCTGGATCACACATTGGTCACACATACCGGTGTCCAGAGTGGGCAATAGGCTCTTCTTCCATCCATGGAGGCAGCTCGCTGGTGATAGCAAGGGGCTTGCCCTCTTGATAAGTAACAATAGAAATTCTGGGCTTCTAGTTTTCCCTCCTTGAATATTTTTTCAGAAAAACGAAATAAAATGGGCTTTGTGGCATTTCGCTGCCATCCTCATTTTTCATAGATATGTCTGGCTGGGGTCCTTCACACATTGTAAGAACATTTCTCTCTCACTTTATCATAGCTTTTTTTTTTTTTTTTTTTTAGTTTGAGTTACTTTTTTTTTTTTTTTTAGCTTGAATGACCCTATGTTCCCCATTTATCTGAGACACTCCCGGTTCATGTTTATTGTCCTGGAGTGATTATTTATAACTTCTTTCATTTTCAAAAGTGACCCAGTTGGACATGAATTATTCAGTTGCCCTGTTACCACTGAGGTCTGGCACTCGGGACTGGACAGCCCCTAAGTAAGAGGAAGGTGCGAGGCTCTGGGAACACTGCCGTTGGGCTCCTGGGCACCACCAGGTCTAGAATTATCACTGAGTGGGACACATGGACAAGTTACTTTAAGCCTCAGTTTCATCGCCTATAACAAAGAGAATAACAACAACAGTAATCACTCCCGCCACCCAGAATTATTGTGAGGATGCAGTGGGACCGCGCGTGCCGAGCTCGAGATCAGCATCGGGCACGTGGTAAGTCCTAGTAACCGGAGCTCTCGTTCTCACCCTCCTTTATTCTTTCTTCCCTTGCACCCTTTCTGTCTTCCTCACCCCTTCATCTCCACCCTTTCCTCCACCCTTTCTTTCACTCTTTCTTGCTTTTTTCTTTTTTCTTTTTTTAACTTTCTGAAATAATTGAATCACTCGGGTTGCCTGAAGCAGCGTGCTCTCGCCCCATGCTGAATGCCGCTGGAGTGGGGAGGAGTCGGCAAAGCCATTTTAGGATCCTGTAGGTTATGGAGAGGGTCGCGTTAATTTTGTCTCCTTGGTGCTGTGAGGCGGAGTAGGAGCTCGGTCATCTTTGTCGGTCACAGTGGTTCCAGTCCCGGGTTTCTTAAAATTCACTGGTTTTGGTAGAAGCTGGACATGGTGACATACGCTTCTTCTTGATTTGATCCTAAGGAAGTGAGGAGGGGCTGTGCCTGCATAGCTGGGGTCAATGTCAGGATTTCTGATTGGAAAGGAAACGGAGGGGATACGGTATCATTTGTAGTTCCAGGACCAAGCAGCAAGCCCTGGTACGCGTGAGGCCCTTTCTCGTCACCTTCCCTGCAGTCTGGGAACCTGGAGGAGGAGAGCACAGGGGGGTCACACGCGCTGACGTCCCCAGCCTGGCATCTGAGGGGTGCATCTCCTCTGAAAGTTTGGGAGGTTTTGACTGCCTGCTCAGACATCCAGCTGGAGCCCTGCCCACCCGCTCCAGGCCTCTGCTTCTCAGGCTCCGCCGGCTGCGGAGCAAATGCGTCTTGCAGAAAGCCTTCCACTTCATCTCTGGCTTGAATGCCATCCACCTTATGAATCTGGCAGTCCAGGAAACTCTCAGGACTGAAACTCGCATTCAGATTCTGCACCGAAAAAGAAAGACGGCATTAGAAGTGCACCAGAGAGTCTACCACCACGCCACCCTGATTCCGTCTGATCTTGGAAGCTAAGCAAGGTCTGGCCTGGTTAGTACTTGGATGGGAGACCACCTAGAAAGACCAGGTGCTGTAGGCATAAAAAAATAAAAAGTAAGGGATCGTAAGCCGACAAGGTCCTTGCAATCTGTGAGGTCAACCAAGGGTTGCCTTGGCTAAAAATAAATAAATACATACATACGTACATACATACAGTGCACCAGAGAGACACGCCACCAAACTTTCTGTTAGGAAAAGTTCTAAAGAAGTTCTAACAGGGATTTACCAGGGAATGTCAGAGATTAACCCACATGTTCTAGTTGACTTTGTACTTTTGGAGGTGCTGTGACCCCTCAGGGTCTGAAGTGACCACTGGCTGCGCCTTCCAGCCCTGGGGAGAGGCCTGGGCAATTCTTAGTCTTGTATTTCATTTTAGTTTCCTACCTCTAGAAACTGGATCTTTGTAAGGGACCCTACTTTGGGGATGCACAGAAGACCAAAACCCGAGGTTCAATGATTCCTCACCCCACAATATCATTCTTGGTTGCTGGGATACCGTCACTGTGGTGATAGAAGCACTCACCTTTTTTGGTTTCTTGCACAGTTGCTCCAGAGTCTTCTTGTGGTCAGGGAGACTGGGCCATATAATAGGCTTAATTCTGAAACGAGAAGACATTGATGGATGAAATGAATGGCAGGGGGAGCAGGCACAATACATTTTTCCGTCTATTCTGAGACGGGAATCAAAAGAGTGCATCTCTAGTCTTGGCTGTGCCACTGCCAGGTGGATCACCTGTGGCAAGTGCCCTGCTTCTCTGGTCCTCAATGTCCTATCAATCCATGCAGGAGCTGGACCAGAGATTATTTTCAGTGAGCCACACTGTGAACACGATTTAACAACGATATACCTCTGAGAAAGAGCCCTGGAGAAAAGCAACAAGGAAGCTTGGCAATTAAGTGGTTTGGTGTAGTTATAAAACTAAAATTTGACCTGCTTACCTACTCTCAATATAGATGTCATCATTTCATTCCTCCTTTTTACTGGTAGCAACCTCTTATCTCTCATTTTGGTAGAAGCAAGGAATATTTTCTGAGAAATTGCTTTAAGGTGGTACTTTTCAAACTGGAGTATTTTGCAGTTCTTGGGGTATGTGGCCCTGTGCTGAGGGTATTTTCCTAGAACGGTCAATTAATTATTGACCGGTGTATCTCTTAAACATCATTTTTATGATGAAGCAGTCATGGCCCTATCATGAGGTAGAATGCAAAAGTCTCAATGTGTGTACTAAAAGTCAAGACATCAAATTTATTCTGCATTTTCCATGGGTGCCTCTAGCTGCCCAAACACTCCAGAGGCATGGCTCCTAATCCTTTAAGAGGAAAAATCTGGTGGGGGGAGGATTTGCTCTACGTCCAGTTTATATATTTTCACGTCTTAGGAAATTAACTATGGAAATTCACCAGTGCCTGAGGATGAGGAGGGATGCTGAGCACTATAATTCCTGAAATGCCTTATTCTCCTTTGTAGTTTTCTCATCAATAAACGGGGTTCGAGCTTTGGCTCTCTGGGATCCCGCATAACCACCCTCTTGATAAAAGAAATTTACCTTTTTTTCCATAACACACAGGCCAAGATGACTATCAGAGCCACAGAGAAGAAACTCAGAACGCTGACAATTAGTAGAACTGGATCCATCTCCTCTGGAATGCAAGGATAATTCTAGATTAACAATCGCTAAATATGCAGTGGGATAGACTTCAAGATGCTTTGAGTTTATTTAGTAACTTGGGTTTAGTAACTTTCTTGAAAGTTGCTCTTCAGCGAACAAAATGATGTAATAGCTTTATGGGTGAATTTTGGCGTCAGTAAATGACACTGACTGAGGTGACCAGATCTAGAACATCTGCCACTTGAAATGTAAAAGTGACCTACCATTAAAGGTACCAGCTTTCCCTCCCCGATTCCATCACCAAGAGAAGAAAGTTGAGCAGGGGTTGATGAGAGAGACACTCTACTATGCAGTCTCAGCCATTTCCAGGGTGAGGATGAGAGGTTAGTATGACAGAAATGTTCCCCTCACCCCCCAAAGAGAAGGTATATGTGTGGTGGGCCGAGTCCCCAGGGGTCTGCTTGAATCATGTCCTTTGGCTCTTCTGGCCATTCTCTCTTCCTAGACCCCCCGGGATATCTTCGTTAATCTGGAAAAGGAGGCATGGAAGAGCCACATCAGCTTGCCAATCTGCCATGAACAAAGATCTTCCCTAGAGGGGCCTTAGAAACATCAGATATGGGGATCCCAGTCCAAATGGTAAACTGGAGGTGGGAGGTGGGGGTTTTGTTCAGAATATTAGCAGCTCTCAACAGCACCCAGGGCAATAGAGCCTAGATGGCCTACATCCGTCGATCGGCCAGTAAAGGCCCTATTCCCACCACTTCCGTGTTCTTCACAAAAAGGGCAAAGGTGGCGTCTTCTCTAAAGAAAGTGTGGGAATATCTTCAAAGGAATCCTTTCTCTCACTCTCATGCTCACTCACACATTATGGCCTGCAAAGCACTATGCAGAGAACAGAGATAGTCACTTCTCACCTGAGCCTTTAGTCTCCGGAGTTCTGAAGTGGAAACTTGGACTCCATTCACTCCAGAAGCCTTTAAAATAGTCGGTATTAGGGATGGATCGGACTTTAATCTCATACTTTGCATCAGGTTGTAGCTTTCTCTGTAGGAGTGTCAGCTTTGTACTGGATAAATTCACGCGCTAAAGGGCAAAAAGTGCCACTATATTTTTAGGATGAAAAAGGTGCCACCCAGATCTCCCAAGCCATTCAAGTGGAGGGGCATCGTTAGTCTCGTGGACATTCTCTCAAAGTTCTCTCATATTTGCTGTAAGCATGAACTCTGGGACGTAGAGGGGTCAGCAGCAGAATTTTGGGCAGAGGCTCTGAGCTCATAAATGATGCTGCAAATGGCGAAGGGGGTGGTGGCAGGTACAGTGGGTCTTCACTCAGGTGAGTTGGGCACTGCCACTTTGGGAAGAAATGCTCAAGTCACTCCCAGCCTCCCACTTTTCTTGACACATTTTAATCTTTTATTTTCTTTCTCTTTCGTTTTACATCCCCAGAAGAGATGACAGGGAATGATAGAGTTAGTGAGCAAAAATCATTTCCCTGCAGAAAGATACCGTTCCACATTGCGAATAACAATACAGATATGACGGTCTCTCCAACACTGTGTATAATCTTAAGAAAATAGGAACTCTATCAATTTTGTGGGTAAAAGTAATATTCTACTGTTATTTACATTTATATTTATTTGATTATTAGTTTTCATGTATATTGAATTTGTGTATTTCTTATTTTGCGAAACATTTCCAACTTTCTTGCTAATTTTTCTATTGTTATATTTGTCTTTTTCTTAATGACTGTAAAACTTTCTTATAAAGCTATCAACCATCTGTCAATTGTAAGTATGGCACCTTAATCTTAATATTTAATTTGCCTTTCGATTTTGGTTATTGTGGGTGCTAACATTTATAAACCTTTATTTTCATGTAGTCGTATGTACCAGCTTTTTTGCTTTCTTTCACTGCTTTTATGCTTAATATGTTCTTCTTTATGTCAAAATTATTTTAACATTTACCTATGCTTTTCTAGCTTGTTTAGAGTTGTACTTTTACATAATTTCCTTATATCATCTTTGTGTGCTTTTGTTGTTAAACAGAGGGGGTTAGGCATTTAACTTAATTTCCCCCTAGTGAACTGATTATTCTGGCACCATTTTTTTCGAAATCCTTCCTTTTCCCACAATAGCTGCTTTTCCATTTGTGTAATTGTCCCACGGAGACTGGAAGAGGGCAGGATGGAGGCAGTCCAGTTTGTGCGTGTGTGTTGGGGGAGGAATAGAAGGAGAGGAGATGATTTGGAGCAGGCATTACACTTATGTGAGTAGCATCGGGCAGCGGACTGCAAACAAACGAGGCTGACCTTTGCCCTAGAAAGGAGACCTGTGTGGATAAGTAGGCACTCTTTTTGCCTTCAGAAAGAGAAACCTTCATCTGCTTTCCGTTTGTGTGATGCGAAAAGGACAGAAGGTAAGTCAATGGGTTCGGAGGAACCTGGGACACTTTACTTTCCCTCCGCCCTCTTCCCCAAACAGACTGCAGGGACAGACAGACCGTCCCGACTGCAGTGAATCAGAAAGTCTAAATAACCCTCTGGATTACGAAGGGTGAAAATTTAGTGCTTACTTCAAGAATTAAGAATTCAAGCTTAAAAAAAAATGAAGAATATTTCTCCTTCTCTCTTTTTTTTATTCCTTTATGCTTCTCTCACAACTTTTATAAACCAATTGTGGCTATGACTTGGTGACATTTTTGCCTGATTTGCCTGTGAGTGTGCTAAATGTGCTACTTTTTGAGGCTCCAAAACAAAGAGGATTGATTTGGTCTTGACCTATATTGTTAGTCCATTAATCTAATTTAGGAACATTATAAAGACAAAAAACAGAGCAAGAAAAAAAAAATTGGAGCTAGAACAGGAACCGACAAGAGAAGATCCAGGTTTTGTGGGATCGATAACTTTTACACTTAGAAGCTTCTTTAAGTTAAAGATACATTTTGAATACAAAATTGCTAGGGGACCTCCTGGGGTAAATGTACCCCTGGGACAATAAAATATGTAACATTAAGAAGTTTCTATTTTACAGTTTTATACATTTACATATTTTAATTTATATATGTAATTTATTTGTTAAGTATATTTATATAGACACCTTCATACATTTCATAATCTATAAATGTAGTTGATCTACATACCATCCAGTCATTTTCATTTTTTTCCTGGCGGTAGGCTACCTCATGTATTAATTTTTTTACATAATTCTTTTGCAAGTGCGATGTATTAAATGTCACCACAAAGTCATTTGCTTCCTTGCGATAGATGACTCTTATGTCAAAAGGAGCCTCAGGTTTAACTGGAAAGGAAAAAGAAATGAGGTCGGCTTATAGATCAAAGAAATAATTATAATTTTTAAAGTTCATCTACTCTGGAAATCACATTCTTGTTCAGAAAACCATTTTTTCTTCCTGATTCAAAGCCTGACTACATTTTCCAGCAGCCGTGTGTGGCCTAATGAGCTGTGTGAGTGGAAGTGATGTGTTCGACCTCTGATCCCAGCCCAGAAACCCTACATGTGTGACCCCGTGTTCGTTCCCCTTCCACCACTTGGAGTTGTATATGGAAGACAGTGGAGTCACAGCATGAAGGAGCCCTGACTATTGCTTGAAGGACAACTACCATTCGCAGATTAGAAATACCCGTTTTGGGCTCTTATGTAAGCAAAAAGTAAACGTATAGTATTTGAGATATCACACATTTTAGGGCTTATTTGTTACAAAGCTAGTGTTAGTTTTACACTAAAACACATTCTCTTTGCCTTTTGAATGCTTGTTATTAATTAGACCCAAAATGGGAGTGTTTAAACTTCGAGTCTTCATTATTCCAATAAGATCAGATGATAAGCCTTGCACCTTATTTCAGCCATATAGAAGTTGAGGGTTTGCATTCTGGCCCTGGCTCAGAACTTCCAATGTGTGACTTCCTCCTTCAATCTTGTTTGCATTAGAGCTAAACTCCTCTCTGGCCTCCTCCTTCTGCCTGCCTGCCTCCCTCTCGGAGCTGCTGTTAGATCACATGCACCTTATATATGAAATGCTATTGGGGGAAGACAGGTATTAATTCATGCAGAACAAACCTTGAGAAAGGTATTGAATTCTTAGATGAACATGTATGTCATGTCGCCTCCCCACCATTGACTGGGGGCTTCCCTGTCATGGTATTTTAGCGGCTCTTTCACCAAAGGAGGAGGTTAGTTATCTAGGGATGGGGAAGCCACGTTTCTGTATGGCTGATCTCAGACAGGGATGGGGAAACACAGAGGGTAAGATCTAACCTAAGCCTTTTGTTAATGAGAGAGTGTGTGTCCATCAAATTTTCACTCAGTGGACTGAACTGGATTCTAAGCAGTCTGAGCTGGGCTTTAAGACGGACTTGCTGACCCAGTAAAATGAATTTGTGTGGTGGAGTTTGGCCCACTTATTGTCATCAGCTTCTCATAGTGGTGGTGTCTACCTGCCTCAGAGGTACTGAAAAAGAGGAAGTGACTCCTTTTTTACCCTTTTTTACCTATCTTGTGAAAGGTGAAGTTGATCCTCTTTTATCCTTACAAACACCATAAAAACAGAAGATGCCTGGAAGGGAAGCAGGAGGAAAGGGAGTGGGCGTGGAGAAACAGATGGACAGAGAATACTGTCAACCTTTTTACCCCTATCAAGCCAGTTTCTACCCTTCATTCAAGGAAGTAACATTCTCAACAAAACCTTTGATACTGAGTTCCTTGTCCATCCCCATCTCCCAAGGACTCTCAATAAAGGAAAAATTAAGGGAGAACATACTAATATTGATTATATACTTAGTAAGTGCCAAGTGATCTACTTATGTCATCTTCCATCAATAATCACTTGTCACCACTATCCTGATGAGGAAGCTGGGTCTCAGAAAGGTCGATTGACTTTCGTTCAGGACCCTGTTGGATGGTTTAGGAGGATTTAAATTCAATTCTGCCTGATTCTGGTGCTCACTCTTTTTCATTTCGCTTTTGTTTCTGGACTCCATTATCTCCATTGGCTGGCCCGGGCAATCTACCCACATGTCCGCCTCTAGCCCAAATGGTGTCTTTGAACACATTCAAAAAAGGTGCTCATTCTTCAAGAAACATTTTAAAAACGTTAATTTATTCTTGCATAACCTAAACAAGTATATAAATTTATCCTGCCAAGAAAATTGGGAAGCAGGAAGCTGCCCATCTAGACTTATTGGGACGCCTATACCTAGAGAAGAAGAAATAAATGAAGGGCAAGTGGTTGCAGGGGAGCTCTGGTTCTGGGGTTCAAGCAGGAATTTCCAGTGTAAATTCAATTAGATGACAGTTCTATTAATAAAGTGTCACATTAGGAACCAGAAGAAGTTGCTACTGTAAGACACACTGTGTGCACACCTTGTCTTTCCCCCTTGCCCCTCAGATGAGGCGTGTCAGGTTTGTAGTCTGCTGGGTGGTACAGAATGTGGACCCCTAAAAGCCGTGAGCATGGAGATCTGGGGATTCAGATGGGGCGGAGTACCACCTGGAGCCCGTGCGTGTGCCACGAGGGTTCACATGCTCACTCTCTGGAATGCATGCAGGCCCTGTGTGCTGGCGTGGGTTTCTGTAAGAAGGGGCTCTCCTCTGATGCTCCAGGACTCTGTCGAGGGACTGAGAATCTCTGCCCTCTCTGCCTGTTCTCAGAGAGTGAATATATATTTGCAATGTAAATGAGGAACCTTTAGATATAGTGCTCTTGTGCGGTTCACAAACGAAACTTCCATCTGTAGCAGACTAGTCTCCAAATGGGCAAAACCCAGCTCGCTTGTGCTGCATACCCTGGGGCTGTCATCCCCACCTGGGCAGCACTCACACTGGTTGGGTCTATGTCTCTTTTTCACTACCACTGCTTTTTTTTTTTTTTTTTACAAGATATTTGTTCACATATAGAACTTTTGCTTTTACCCTTTACCATCTTCATGAAACAAAGCTCAGACTAGATTCCAAGTTTATCTTTGATGTCTCTAATAAGTATTGCTCTCCTACATACCATTTTATTTTTGGAGGGTGAAAAGATGGGTGAGAATAGGGAGAGGTAGAGCCATACTGTTTAAAACCAGCAAAAGAATCCATCTCTTCAATCACTTTCAACGATTTTCCCCCATGTACATGTTGTTTTGCCTATAAATCTTCATAGGTAGAATACATACAAGTAGTTAGTATTCCATTACACTGATATATGATAATTGGCTTAGACCTTCTCCTATACAAGCATATCTCTGAGGTTTTGAAAAGAACCTATTCACCTCAGGGTCATATATCTGTAAGTAATGGAAGAAATTATTGTGTCTATAGTCTCAATTTTTCCGATCGTTTTGATTTACTTGCCTGCTAACCAAATGGTTAATTAGTAATTAATATTGACTTATACCCAGATAATTGAATAGATTTACTGATTTGTAAATTATATACATGGATATTATATAAAACCAAAGAAAACATGCAGATGAGCTTAGTAATTTGAATTATAATGCTAACTTTATTGGAGATATAATTATAATTTTTTTTGGCAAAGTATAATAGGTGTATTCTAAGTCAAATCAGATTTGGCATCAATCTTCAATAATAGGTCTCTTAGGAAGGTGCAATGGTAACTTCATATGTCAACATGGTGCCCAATTGTTTGGTCAAGCACTAGGTGAAAGATATTTTTTAAAGACACAGCTAACATTTAAAGCAGTAGACTTTGAGTAAAACAGATTACCCTCAATAATGTGGTAGGCTTCTTCCAGTCAGAAGAGGGCCTTAGAAGCAGACCAAGATGCCTGGAGGCAGCAATTCTGTGTCACGAATGCAGCATGGAAACCCTGCTTGAGTTTCCAGAGTTCCTGGCTTGCCCTGTGAAATTTGGACTCAAGACAACAGCATCTACTCTTACCTGACTTTATAGCCTTATGGCTTGCCCTGTAAGTTTCAGACTTATCAGCATCCACAATCATGTGAGCCAATTTCTTAAAATAAATCATATATATATATTCTATGCATTGGTTCTTTTTCTTCTGGAGAACTTAATATAGAAGGCATATTTACTTTTTAAAATAACTTGGTGATTTAGCTAAACACACAGAATATGGTGAGCAGGGGGGAGAAGATTACATGAAATTCAGTAAGGTAAGGTAAGGAAGGAAAGGACATAGGTGGGTGGATGACAGGAGGCCCAGCTTCAGTTAGGCACTTTATATAGATGAACTAACTCTTCTCGTAACCTGTAGGTGCCACACCCTCATCCATGGCTGAGTTTGAAGATCCTCGGAATTCTCTTACAGTAAGAATTAATAGCATAAGCTTCAAAACTTTCATTTCTTTTAAAAATTATTTGTATTAGTGAATTTTCTATTCTCTGTTGCAAATAGCTCTCATGATTTGTCTACTTTTAAAATATAGAAAATCCAGACACTATCATTGTCTTCAGATACCTGAAACATGGCAACCATACCCCTTTTTCTTCTTACCTATATTGACTATCTTCATTTTTCTGCAAGTTACAATCTTTCCTCCAAGCTTCACACATATTTTGCTGTCTCCAATCAGTAAGAACTTATTTGTCTTGATGAGATACATCTCTTGGTGTTTACTAAAATTCAGGCAATTTACACCCACAAGGGCCTCACTGTAGAAACAAAAAGGGGATCTGTCTTAAATTTAGCAGACGTTTCTGTATACAATGGAATAGCATCACATGTACGTTTCAATTGTGTGACTTCAACTCTGTCCATAGGTATGTGAGTGGGTAGGTGCGTGCATATGCAAGAGAGAGGAAGAATTAAAATAATGTAGCTTTTTGCTGCCATTACTATCAGTGATGATTTACTCATATATTAGATGTAGTTGAACCTAAAATAGTCAAAACATGTTCATAAAAATTATAAAAAATTTCTAATTTTTAATAATTGATCTTTGAAAAGCAAATACTTTGTTTAGATGGGAAGGTAATTGCTTTTTTTTTGATGTCCGACAGGAAAAAATTGAGAAAATAAAGCCTGTGAAGAAACATTGACCAAAAAGGGTTAATGTAAATGACAAAATAGTCTAAGGGATTATAAACATAAAACCATGTAAATATAATGGGTAATTTACAGCTTTTCATAAATAATTTTGATTCTGCTCTACTTCTAACTAATCAACAGATTTTAAAATCAACCCTTCAGTTATTGGATTTCATTAACCAATGTCACTATAAAAAAATAATAAATTAATTAAATAAATAAATACATAAATAAAATCAACCCTTCTCATCATGCTCCTTAGCTTAACAGGCAATAGCATTACTCTAAGAATTGAATTCTCTTCTGTGACTTCCTATTTCCAATTAAGATCATTTTTTTAAAAAACTGAGGAAAAGAGAATGTTTCTGACTATGCAACTAACATCACAAGCTCCAAATTGTACTCTTTCAAAAAATTCCTGTTTAAAAAAGTTTAAGGTTTAGTTCCAGTAATGGCAGAGTAACTTATATCACACTAGCTCTCTAATACATAAACTTTATACAATATATTTTTGGAAATTCTATTTATGAGCATTGGAGAGTAAAAAGCAGGTAGAAGCTAGAGAGAATTTCATTCTTTTTTTTAAAAAATGAATGAGATCCTTATGATCTTTCTTTCTTTCTTTCTTTCTTTCTTTCTTTCTTTCTTTCTTTCTTTCTTTCTTTCTTTCTATTTATTTATTTAGTCTGATGGCACGGTGATAGGCATTTAGAATCTAACAGCTACTGTTTTGTCTTAAGAAGTTAGAGAACAGAGTTTTGGACTGCTAGAGTGGCTGGCTATTTTTAAAAGGGAAAGCCTAGAGGTGAGGAAAATATAGAAATGGAAACACCAAGTCAGTATATAAACTTTGCTCAAATTATTATATGTCCCCTTAATTGTACATGTGTAGGAGACTTCTAGGAAACCACAGAATGGCAATAGCTAAAAGTCTCTAGAGAGAACTAAGCATAGATTTTAGGTGCTGACTCAAATGAAGAGAGAATTTGGGGATTAATCTAGCCAACAGAACTAAAATTAACACTTGCCAGAGGATAACAGAATGCACCCCTCCCCATTATCAACGGAGTTCTTCCTACATCAGAAGCTCCTACAAATGACCAGAAAAAGAAAAATGTGACCCATAGTCAAGAAAAAAAAAGCGGTCAATGGAAGCTGACCCAGATGTTCACTCAGATGTTGAAACTATCAGAAAAGGACTTTAAAGCAGCTTTTGTAAATATGTTCAAGGTGTCATGATTATTGAACAGATGTTTAATCTTAATGAAGTAGAAACTGTAAAATAGAACAAAATGAAAATACTGTAACCAACAAATACAAATATAACATTTAAAAAAATTTCCTGAGTGTATGGAATAGACTTAACAGCAGATTGAAGATGGTAGAGAAGAGAGTCTGTGAACTTGAAGATAGATCAGTAGACATTATTCAGTCTGAAATAACAGAAAGAAAATCTTGGTGGCCTGTAGGACGACATCAAGAGGATAAATAAATATGTAATAAGAGTTCAATAAGAGAGAAAGAATTTAGCGGAAAAATAACAGCTCTAAATTTCCCAAATGTGGCAAAAAATATCAACTTTTAGTCTTAAGAATTCAGTAAATCCAAGCAGGATAAAGCCAAAGAAAAGCATATCCTAAAAGCTAGACATACCATAGTCAAATGGCTGAAAAACAAAGGCAAGTAGAAAATCTCGAACTCATCCAGGGAAAAATATCACTTTTCATCAGAAACTATGAAAACCAGAAGACATTAGGATATCTTTAAAACTGTGAAAGAGGGGAATAAAAGATTTCCACCTTAAATTCTTATATGCACAAAATGTTCTTCAATAATGAAGGCAAAGTAAAGATATTTTCAGATAAATAAAAATTGAGGTAATTTGTTTTAGGAAATTCTTAAGACCAAGGTGAAATGATATTAGACAGAATCATATCTTTCATATAAAAGATAATATATGAAACATGAAAGACAGTTTAAATTTTTTAAAGGCAAGTGATTGTTTAAAGCAAATATTATAGCATTATTTATAAGGTATTTATAAGGTGTATAGATATAAAACACATGACAATAATAGTGCAAAGGATAGGATATAAGTGGAATTATATTGTTGTAAATTTCTTATATTTTACATAAAATAGTAAAATATTAATCCTAATAAATTCTCATAAGTTTGAATATTGTAATCCTGAGAGTAATCACTAAAAAGATATTGCCCCAAAGTGAAAATAAGGAAGAAATGAAATATCTTGAAAGTTCCATTTCTTTCAAAGAAATTAAATTTATCATTAATAAACTTTCTTACAAAGAAAACTCTACTCCCACATGGTTATATGCTGGTAAATTCCATCAAACATATAAGAAATAGTGCCAACCCTACACAAATTCTTCCAGAAAATAGAGGAGAAACAGACCCTTCCCAAATTATTTTATGAAGTTAGCTCATTAGTGGTACCAAAAGCTGGCAAAAAATATTACAGAGAAGAAATTGACAGATAAATGTCTCATGTATATGTAAAATTCCTTAAGAAAATATGAACACATTAATGTTAATACATAATGAAAAAGTAAGATGCACCACAGAACATCAAGATAGGTTCAACAATCAAAGATTGATCAATATAATTCACATTAACAGAATAAAAGATAAACAATATGGTTATCTCAAGTGATGCAGATAAGGCATTTGACAAAATTCATCACCCATTTATGGTAAAAACTCTTAGCAGACAATCAATAGTAGGATACTTCCTCGACCTGATAAAGGGCATTTACAAAAAGTCTGTAGTTAATATACTTAATGATGAAATTGTGAATATTTTTCCCTAAGATAAGGACAAGACAGGAATATTCACTTTCACCATTTCTTTTCACCATCTATATGGTGAAGTTTCTAGCAAGTGCTAGGCAATAGAAACGGATAAACGGGAGCTAGATTGGAAAGGAAGAAAAAAGACTTATTTGCAGACAAGTTGTTCATATGGCAAATAATATTCTCCAATACAATTATAGGAACTTAGAAAGTGACTTTATCAGGTCATTGTACAAAAAATCAATTATATTTTTATAGACTAGTCTCAAATAATTAGAAAATTAACTTTAAAAATAACAGCTCCATTTATTATAACAATAAAATATAAAATGCCTAGATATAAAATTAATACAAAATGTTCAAGACATTAATGGAAAACACAAAACATTTCTGAGAGTTATAAAAGAGAATCTAAATAAATGGAGAGCTACATTCATGAATTAGCAAATTCGATAGTAAAGAAATGGAAATTTTCTCAAATTGGTATATATAATATTAATCAAAATCTCAGAAGGATTTTTAAAAAATTGACAAGCTGATTCTAAAAGGTATGTGCAAATACAAAGAATACTTAAAACAACATTTAAGAAGTAGAACAAATATGGAGGATTCATAGCACCTTATCTCAAGGGTATTATTAAGCTATAATAGGACAGTTTAGCACCGGCATGAGAATAGATAAATTGATCACTAAAAAGTATAGGGAATTTGGATATAGACTCATACATACAAGGTTGATTGATTTTAAGTACAGTCACTCAATCAATTCAATGGAAAATAGAAAATCTTTTCAGCAAATTGTCCTGAAACAACTGAGCAAATGTATGGAAAATATAAATCTCAGTCTTACATAAAATTAATTGGATATGGATTATAGACCTAAATGTAAGTGTTAAAACTATGAAATATTTGGAAGAAAACATAGGAAAATATCTTCCTAATTTGGGGAGTAGACAAAGATCATAATGACACAAAAAGTACTACACATAAAAGAGAGAGGGAAAAAAATAGATATATTGGAATTCATCAAAATGAAAACCTCCTGTTTATTAAAATACACATTAAGAAAATGAATGGCAAGCTACAGACTGGCAGAAAATAATTATAATGCATATATCTGACACACAAATGTATCTAGAATGTATAAAGAACTCATCCCCATCAATGATACAGGACAAAAACTCAATTAAAAAAAAAAAAGACTTTTGCCAATACTTGCCAAAAGAAGACATACAAATGGCCAACAAGGGCACAAAAAGGTGGTCAACATTATTTGTTAGTTGAGAAATATAAATAAAATTCACTAGATACTATTTCAAAGCTGTTAGAAATCATATGTAGCTCACACATTGCTGCTAGGAAAGTAGAATGCTTTTACCACTTTGGAAAACTGTTGGTCAATTTTTTATAAAGTTAAATACACACCTACCCCATACAGCAATTTCACTCTGAAGTTTTTACCACAGAGAAATAAAAATGTGTGTTAACAAAATGATTCGTACAAGAAAAAACTCAAATGTCCATCAAGAGGAGAAAGGATTAAAGTTTGTAATCTAGTCATATAATGGAATTAATACTCAGCAATTGAAAAGATGAGTTATGAGATATGCATCTACATGGGTAAATCTCAAAAACATTTTGTCGTATGAAAGACGTGAGACAGAAAAGAGTAAACAGTGTGATATTTTATTTAAAAGAACTATCAGAAACTTGCAAAACCAGAGGGTGAGAGAATTCAGAACTGTGATTGCTCATAGGGGATGAGGACATCCTTCTAGGGTGGAAGAAATGTTCTATATCTTGACTGAGGTTTTGACAATACGTCACATTTACTTCTCAAAACTCACTTAAGATCTGTATATTTCACCATAGGTAAATTTTACCCCCAAAATGAACTGTCATCAAATAAAAAGTAAACCAAATAAATTAATACAGCACATAAAAATGAAAGAAGTAATGTCGAATATATATTCTCATTGTAAAAATAATTAAACAATGCAGAATAAAGTAAAATTACTCATTTATTCTCCTTTCTCAACCCTCGATTTAATTTCCCTCTCCTGTGATAACCATGGTTACCAGTTTGTTTTTTTCACATGCTCTTTAAACCCAGGCAAATAGCCTTAAAAAGAGGTATGTTGTTCTGGCTTTGAGAGAGAGAGAAAGTGAGAGAGTGTGTGTATGTGTTGGAGTTTCTAGAGGGTGTGTTCCTTTTTAGGCTAGATGGGTTTTCCCACTTGGAGCAGAGTTAAAGTAAAAAGCCAGTATATAAGGTAAGCTAGATGGATACCAGGGAACAAACTTGGGAGAATTGTCACATTAAAAGTTTTAAAGATGGCAATATTGTTATGATTTAATAAATTAGAATAAAAGGGGAGAATTGAGGCAGGATGTCATTTCTAAATTTTAGATAAACACATGATGTAGAGAAATTAGAAGGATAATAGCTTTTAGTTCAATCACTGAGTTTAGAATTTATTTGAAAGTAAAGTATGTGTGGACTATTCAGTTACGGATTCTTAGTGTGTAGCAAGTTCTTGGCACTGTTGGAAGTTTAAGAAGACTCTAAAATGGTATATTCAGTTCATTCCTATTTTGGGGAGAATGAGATCAATCAGCAATGAAAAATGAAGATCTCCATGGGGCTATCTTGTGAAACTGGGCATCCTTTTAAGGGCTCTGAACCCTAGGAGCTGCTCTGTGTGTGTGTTTGCAGGGCGTGGGGAGGGAGGGAGAGCCAGGAGACCAAGATAAAACTGCCGCCTAGAATAGATAATCTCGCTTTGAGCCACTGACCCTGGCTTCAGGAGACTGGAGAAAACTTAGTGTCCTCCCATGAGTAATTCAATCCAATTCATTTCAATTCACTTATTTAAATTAAAACAATTTACTAGGTTGCCAACTATGTATTGCTAGGGCTAGGAATGTTCTAGGACTACACCATCTAACACGATAGCCACTACCCCACGTGTACTGAACACTTGAAATATGGCTAGTCCAAATCGTGCTCTTAATATGAATACACACCAGATGTTGAAGTTTTAGTATGAAAAATAAATGTAAAGTATCTCATCAATATTTTTGTTCCTATTGATTACATGTTAAAATGATAATGTTTCGAATATATTAGGTTAAATGAAATATATTATTAAAATTAATTTTACCAATTTTGTTTCTTTTTTAAATGTGGCTACTAAAAAATTTAAAATTGCATATCTGGCTTGCACATCTGTGGATTACATTGTATTTCTGTTGGATAGAGTCATTCTAGGGTATTTGAGAGTGGAAAAAGTATCCAAGTAGTACTATAGGCTGACAAATATGACCCTGTGAGACCTTCCCAGGGGACATCAACCCTAAGCCACTTACACAAATCCCCCCCATCATTCTGAAAATAGGGAGAGACTGCCAGGGACCTCAGCGCCAGATTCTTTATCCCACCTTCTCTTTCCTAAATTTCCTGCCGTCTTGCATAGGTTTTGTGTGATGGTGCAAACAGATATTTACACGGGAATATTAAAAATAAAAACAAAAATAAACTATAGTTTTTATTGATTATTTGGCTCTGAAAGACAGAATCTATCTGAAAAATATGGAACAACTTTGAAAATTAGTGTGGTTTGCTGTATAAAGGACTACATTACCAGCACTTGACGGATGTTGCTAGTGAAGCCTAGAGTGTGAGGTAGATTTGTCAGGGTGCAGCCTGTGACGGTGGTGGTAATTGATGAAAAAAAAATGACATTTAAAGTGGTATCTGTAAACTGAACCTGGAAGTTACTGTGGTGCCCCCAAGAATGTGGAAATAAAGGAAATATGATTGTCCTCTGAGAGCTGACCATAAAAATTATGCAAACGCCTAAAAAACAGGGTCTCAAATTCAAGGACGTAGAGTATCTATGCAGGTAATATAAATGAGAAAGTGGATTTAACTTCAGGACTGAGATTTAATCCCCACTTTACAGAAACAGCCAGAATTCTGTTCAGCTACTTTTTGCTGTATGTGCCCAGTATTATCAAATCCGATTGTTAAAGAGATATCTAAATTTTTAAATGCTGGCAACTAAGTTTTAAAAATTAACCACTTTAAGATATGAGCCAAATAACTCTGGTCTTAAAATCAACAAATTTGTTTTGTTTCTATATTTACTAAACAATCTTTCGATCACATTTTAAATGAAAATCAGAATTAAGTACCATTTACAGGCACTGATCATATGCTAGATGCTAATCCTTCTACCACAATGCAAGGCAGTTGTTGACGATCAGAGGGTGACAGGGCTAGTTGAGTGTTGCTATTGGAATTCCAATCTGGGTGTCCGTTCCAGCACTTCTGCTTTGCCACTCCAGGTACCTGACGGCTGCTTAGAATTCTGGTGAATGAAAAATTTTCAGGTCCCCCAGTAAGAGTGGATTTATACCGATACACAAACTACTGGCCCTCCTTGTCCCTCCTCCCCTCAAACACCAAATCTGTAGGCCCTGAGCCCAGTCTGAATATTTGGGTCTCTATGATAGCTGTATCTGCCATTGTGAAGTAGTCAATTGGTCTGCTGGTAATCCAATTCCGAGATTTCGGCTAATCTAAGTCCATCCCTGAGAGATGGATCCACACATTGAATACTAAGTAACTTGGTTTCTAAACCTAGAAGATTGATGGCCAGATCAGGCAGGTGGTAAATTCATCTAGAAAAATGCCCCAGGTATGCCCTATAGAAAACATCATCTGGTTTTTATTAACAATCCCACATGGGTAATGACTTCAGCAGAATGCACAATTTTCAGTGATTTCTAGTGTCTTTTTTAATAAATTTATATTAACGGAAAAGAAGAAGCTCCGATAAAGCTAGTTTCATTGTGGAAAAGAAACTCAGCCTGACCAGAAAATTTAAGTGAGTTTAATTTGAGATAAGTAGCTTGTTCTGCACCCGGGAGTTCCACCAACCTACCTCCAGGTGTAGATACCCTTATGAAAACAGCTGTTCTCCAGAAGCACCGTAACCTATTAAGGAGTTCACACTTATTGTTTCACACTGAAAACATGTCTTAAGATAATATTTTTCCAATGGTAACATCTGAATCCAATTGAAAAATCCAAATGGAAGTTATAGATAGATTAAAATATGGCAGAAAATATCAAAAGACTTGTTAAAGGAAGCGGGCAAGTTTGTTTGAGCGGGCACGGAAGTGGTCAGATACTGTGTGAGTGAAAGTGGACAGAAAGGTCAGCCTTGGCCTCCCCAAGAGAAACCACAGTGATCACTGCTGTCCACCAACTAGCTGGTTAGAGAAACCCAGAGTCAAACCTCTGTGTTGGAAGGGGTTTTGACCATAAAAATGAGCTCATTTTTTGAACGAGTTGTTCGGCAATTTAATGTAGTCTAGTTGCAGCACAGATTCTGGACAAGGTAGGTCAGAATCTCCTAATACATTATATTCCTGGAAAGTATGTTAGAGAAATGAACTGACAGAGGCAGATGGGGAACACACTGTGGAATTCAAGTCCAAGACCACATTTCTCCAGTGACTGTGACAGGAAGCTTCTGTAAATTAATGTAAGACATGGAATTCAGGGCTTGTCTAGAATCTATATCGTGGAGGATTGGCCGAATGTCTATGAAATGTAAGAAGCCCTCTTTTACTCCTGTTGGATCTTGACCCACTTTCCTTACTAAGAAACTAACTAAAATTAGGTCATCTGATAGAAATTTGGAGATAGCTAGAAGTCAGAATTTCATATTAGAGTATTTTTTTCAAGTCGCCAGAGATAGTAACCCTCAACAACAAGAGATGGTTTGTGGAGGAGGGAGAAGATAAAGCTGTCTGAGTTCTTTACTGAACTTTCAAAACAAAGACTTTCTCTGTTTCTTCGTCTTTTCTCTGTTGCTTCATGAAAACAAGAGCCAATTTATACCTGTGGGTTTTTGGAAGATTGATATTGAGAGTCTCATCTAAAGTCAAACTGCACCAAGAAGGTGAAAATTAGGTCTATATTCATAGACTTTTGACTTAATGCTTCTTTTTCATTACTTATTACATAGTATGTGTCTCTAGTTAAATTACTAAAACATTAAACTATATAGTCATCACAACCTCCCTATGAGGTAGTGTATCTCATTTACCAGGTGAAGAAACTGCGGCATAGGTAAGTTACATAACAAGCTCTAGGTTAAACAGCCAGTTAGACCTGGTGTTGAGATTAGAAACCAGAGTGCAGCTTGAAGACACAAGATCATCTCACATCAGGCAAAGAGATTTTTTCAGAGTGTCCCAGGAGAACCAGGATTTAAATTCTGCTGTGAAGTCAGAAAGGATGTAGGATCTCCAAGAGCCATATCATTATTTGGCTGTAGCAGTGGGACCTGAAAGATAAACTCGTAAGGGTTTCTTTGCATGAGTCTTTTGGTGAAGGACAAGGAGTTCCAGAAAGTTTTTGGAATTCATTCGGTTGTAGTATTTGATCATTAGCCCCACATGCTTTCCTTTGCCGCTGTTGCCACACAGCACAAGAAAAGAGAGACAGAGGATTTCTAGGCACCCACTGAAGCCACCGTTCCTCACCATATTTCAAATTCCAGATCGGTGCTGTTGACATCGGGGTCGTCAAAAGTACAGTTTAGCAAGTGCTGGGATCCATTCACTTCCAACTGACTGTAGCAGGAGAATGAGTAGTCGTCCAGTTCTGCATCTTCAAAGTCTCCTGGGTAGGAACAAATCTGCAGCTGTTAATGAAGTTAATACGTGCATCCCTTTGCAATCTGCAGTGACATTAATGAAAGAGCATGGGGCGCAGACATAAAAAAGTGATTATAATTTAAAGGAAAAAGGCCAAAGGCAAAGACAAGAAACAGTTTTCAAAAATGAAAACAAAACAAACAATAAAAACCCCAAACCAAAACAAAATCTAATGAGCACAGATTTTTCTAACAGAAAAAAAAAAATCATGTAATTAATAAATAACCTCCAAATATTTCTAAATATTTTTGCCATTAAGTTAGTGCTTTAGAGATCAAACTTGTTAGTCTGTACATTTCAAGTAAGAAATATTTTATCTCCATTATTTATATGCTACCTAATCTAGCCTTTGACTTTATTACCAATCTTCATTTATTCCCTCCCAAGTATTTTTTTGAATGAAGAAAGATGATAGCAGTTTCACAGTCAGAGGTTCACTTTTTTTAAGGGGTAGCTTTTCCTTGCCTAAATAGGTGTCCCAACTAAAAGCACCATTAATGATCTGTATTGTGTGGATATTTGTTTAAGGCACTTTGTCTTAAACTACTAACTGAGACAAATGTAATTAGAAAAAATTAGATTTGACATGACTTAGATCTGGTAGACTTGCCCATAAACCTCATAGAAACTGCTTCTGTGCTTATCAATCTTCTATAGATACTGTATCTCATAGATTTTAATGAGGTCTAGAAGTATGTGGGGAACCAGAAATTTTTTTGTAGTCACTTGTAGAAAAGTACAATCTGTCACAGATAGTGTTCTATTTCTTAAGCTGGCTCGAGGCCCTTAAATTTAAATAGACATTTTGCATGTACATTTCACAGTATTTAATAGAGAAAAATCTGTCAGTAAATATACTGCAACTGGAAACTGAGAGAATCCAGAGTAACCAAAGCCATTCTCAGAGCACTCAAATGTGAGCCCGTGACTGCTTCTAGGTCCATTGATACTAGAAATTCGATGTTTCTGGAGCATTAAATTGGATACGAAACATAGCAAAATTAAACCCCAGCTGAGGGTCCCAAAGGCCATGGGATGTACAAACCGCATTCTATTTAAATAACCCAGTAGGCTGTGGGAAAGTTAGTAAGGCTGGTTATGAGTGGATCAACCAGCTGAGTGACAGGTCAGTTCAGTCAAAGCAACAAATTGTGAAAAGCCACATCTGGACTAGAGCTGTGGGCACTGCTCTTTCCGAACATTCCTGGAAGCCACCCAGCTCACAGTTCCTCTCCCAGCAAAGGCTCCTTGTGTAATTTCGGCAGGGTATGGCCCTCCTCCTGATGACAATTTTAAATAATGAGGGCAGCCCACCACTTAGGACTCGCATTTCAAAGCATGTGCATTCCTAACCTTACAGATTTAAATCTTGGTCCCTAGGAGCTGGCGATTTTCTCAATGGAATGATTCTGGTCTGTTTTAGCCTGCTCTTACATGGCAGCCCTCAAACTGCTTTGATGTTTCTTCTTCTTTGGACCTTCTCTGTACAACAGAACCAACATAACTATTTGGATTCAGACATCGATGGATCAGCTTTGTCTCCAAAATACTTCAACATACAAAGCCAGCCAGAGAGACAACAGTACAGGAGATGCTGGGCATCGGCAGAGCAAAGCACTCCCATCACCCTCAGCCATCTAGTCTGGCAAAGTGAGTTTGCTGCGTATTCTCATACAATGTGCAAAGCACTGTTCATATAATTAAAGTAGTTGTGTTTTGAGAAGCAGCTCATTGGCTATTTAGCAGGTGTTACCGGACAAACTTGTCCTGTAATTGAGAAAAATTCCCCTCAACAACTTGCAAAATTGCACGGCATTTTACAAAGAGAATGTTATACCTGATTTAAGCTGAAGAAATTCTTAGGTAAGAGCAATACACACAGTAATTAAGATCCCCAGCACCAGAGCTGGGAAGATGTGGGTTTAAATCCTGGCTAATCTGTTTTGTAGCTACGGTCCTCTGTCAGGTTACTCAACCTCTCTCAGCCTCAGTGTTCTGATACGTACATTTATGTTATTATGGGGAACCACTGAGCAAATACTAAGACTTAATTTAGGATACAGTGAACACTCAATAAAGGTTAACTATGACTATGATCATATATTTTTTTTGAGAAATAAGTGATGAAAAGGTAAAATAAGAATTCTAATTCTGAGAATATGAACAAGAGACCTTTGGGGCTCCTTTGAAAAAGAGTTATGCATCAAAGGTGTCATTACTACCAAGGCTTTGAAATCATATAGAGCTTTTGAACGGTGAGTTAACCTGTTATTTTTCAAATGCTCACTATCTCAGCATATTTTTCTATAAAAATTGAATTTTTTTGGAATGTATATTACAGATAAGGTCTTGTAGTTTGGAAGTCTTCGTACCGAAAGGAATTAGTTGATTAAAGTGTAGCTTTAAAAAGTAGCCCTTTCTTCTCTTTACCATCCTTGCAGTTACCAGAGAACTAACTTATCTTTCAACAAAAAGCAGCTGATAATTCTTTACTCCAAACTGAGAAGTATTTTGAAGTGATCATGTGAATGGGTGGTTACAAGATTTCTCAAAAAAAAAAAAAATCTGAAATTTAAAAAGTTGAAGTAAAAACTCAACTTTCAGTTAAATTCTTATTTCTTTTAAAAATAGTATTGCCACTGGAGAAATAGATGGAATATGTTATACCCCAAAGAGTAAGATTTCTGTGTTACCTGCCAAGCATCTCTAGGTACAAACACGAGACAACATTTACCATGGAATTATGATCGTCCTACACAAAGTGATTCATACGTGGTCACACTGTGAAAAATGTCAATCTTCTGACAATTCCTGTAATGAAATCAATCTAGGGATTTCCATCCTTAGTAGTTATATGACTTAAAATATCCAAGCTGAGTCATTAGGCTGATGTGTTTGAGATCTTTGATAGGAAAATACTTTTTAACTCTTAAAGTGAAAGAGCTTAATTTTCAGGAAGAAATTGGTGGTCCAGCTTCTCAGGCTGCTCCATCTGCTGCTGTTTTTCCTTTGTCTACTGTTTTCTTCTAATTACCATGTATTTTCTAAGCAGGTAACATCTGCTTCTAGGTATCAAGCTTTTCAAAGATCCAAAAAGAATTATTATATGACAGTAAATTCGTTGATATAGAGATAATTAAATATAGTCCAATGAAACAGCTCACTCAGATATTTCTCATTCAATTATTCACTAAGAATCTCACATGAATCTATCAAAAAAAAGTATTTTGAAGAAATTTTTAAATATGTATTGAATGTTCACTAGGACCTACCCCTTCTTTCGGGTGCTGGGGATATAGCAGGGTTAAGTGCACACAAAGCTGTTGTTTCTGGACATTATTTTATCATGAAAGTTAAGCTTTTGGAACCCCCTAAAAAGTGAAACAAAACAAATCTAGCTTAATTTCTTAAAAAGGTATAACCAACAAGTACAACCTGTGTGTCTTTATGAATGTAAGAGCAAAGTTGTCACCAGTATTAAGATCCACATTTGGAGAGTCAAATGCACTTTTTTTTTTTTTTTTGGTGACAATTCTAAGACTTTTTAAATTACCCTCAGTATTGTCTCTTGATCCCCTGTCTGGTTGTTAGAACATTAAAAAATGATTGAATATGCGGTGAGTTCTCAAACTCCACTCCAACCCAGTGCCCAGCTCAGGTTTATGAGGAATCTGAGCAACCTAGAACCTATGCTAGAGAATATTTGAAAGAAAAATTAGAAATGACTCACCATTCTGTGCATAGCCACTTTCTCCAGAAACAACTTGAAGTAAATAGAAAACCATACCAAAAGCTGTACCTAGAATTGTCATTCTGAGAGAGAGCAAAAGAGGAGAGAAGGCGTGTGAGACTGTATATAGGAATGAATGAGAGAGAGAGAGAGAGAGTGAGAGAGAGAGAGAGAGAGAGAGAGAGAGAGAGAGAGAGCGCGAGAGCGAGCGCACGCACGATAGAGACTTAAATCTATAGCTTTAGGGCTTTATACTTACTTAACCACAGACAGGGGGAAGTATAAACACAGTAAAAAAGAAGGCATGTGCCAGAAACAGGAAGTCAGAGTAAAAGTATTGCTGCTGTAAGCAGAGGTAACGGAAATGAAGGGATAGAACATTTGAAATTATTGTACCTCTCTGGTATTCTTGGCAAGCCCCCAAACTTACTGTGCTTATTTCAGAGTAGCGTCGTAGATTCAAATCTAGACTTCAACTATTTCAGACTGGAGTATGAATAGGGCCCACTTTGAAAGAATCATGAGACAAAAATCTAAACTTATAAAGCTAATCAATTGGTTGTCAGGGGTGCGTTTTGCTTTAAAGAAAGATTCTGTTCTTGATAAAGTAATTTATAGTAAGTATATTAAATAGTTCACTTCCAATCTCCGAACATGGAGAATTTCACAAGAAGAACAATTTTTCTGTTTTGTAGCCCTAGTAATTACTTATACCTCACCCATCACGGTTGGCATTCAAGAATTATTTGTTTAATTTAGGAGTTGGCCGACTATTGCCAAGGGGCAAAATTTGGCCCCCCACCTGTTTTTGTAAAGAAAGTTTTATTGAAACATGGCCGCCTTTGTGTTACAACAGCAGAGTGGAGTGGCCGAGACATGAACTGTATGGCGCACGGAGTGCGAAATCTTATTCTTGACTCTTTATAGAAAAAGTCTGCCAGTCCCTTGTTTAATCCATGAATGTAACATAGGATTCTATTTTTTAAAATCTGATTGCCAGGAACTTTGGTCCACACAAATCACATTAGTGCCTACACCTGCAGGGCAGAAGCCTGAGACAATGACAAATAATTTAGACTCTTCTTACACTTGTCTACCAAACAAAATTTTTGAACATGGCCTCATGCTTAGTTAAAGTAGTGACATTTGTAAAGCCTGGCTGACCTTTTGGTAATTGTTGGATTTTTGTCTTTAAGCCGTTATTAGTGTTTACAGGCACAGGTTGAGAGCAGTCCTGTTATTAACAGACAGAAATGTCTCCCGAAGGACATACTTTTGCTCATTAGGTGACTAATCTAACCTGAATTTAGGCCACAAAACTCCATTCTCTTGATTCGCAGGGGTTCTCTTTTGGAAAAAAAGCTACAAGACTGTGATTATAAGATAATGAGGACAGAGATGCTGAGTGGACAGTGAGTTACAAGGTTCTGTTTGATTCTCTGTCGTGGGTAGAATTGGTCCCATGGGCCTGTAAAAATGGCTAAATCAATGAAGATAAACAACATCCCCTAGACCATAAAACAGAGAGTTTGAACTCTACTTGAGTTAGCTTGTCTCATCATTATGGTTATGTGATGATGTCATAAAATGAGAAAAGAGGAGGTGGGGCATTTGTCTCAGTCTCTGGGAACCCCTATTCAATGCTGAGGCAGATCTAGTGACAGAGATGGGGTGCCCTGTGTATAATATCACCTTCTGGACTGTAAACTCAAGGGACATTTCCAGAGCAAGAAGACAATTGAACAGGTTGGTTTCTTGCTCTTCTTTATCTTTCTTCTTAATCTGTTGAGGCCTTCTTTTGGAATTTTCAAACATCTTCCAAACAGACAAACAAAAAAAAGAGTGCAATTTGGTGCATCAGATAATAAAGCTTGGTTAGAAAATCAGAAGCCTGATTCACAAAACTTGGCATGTTTGGTGCATTGAGCTAAATAACCTTTCAAGAAATCTATAATTACAAATTTTCATGAACTAAGTGAAATAAGTGTTCAAGGAAAAAATCACAAATTATATCTATCACCAACACAGAGCTCATGACTTGTTCACAGATTGTCGGTGGGTAGTAATTGGGTCATGTCTCTTTAAATGCTCTTGTTTATCATTTAAGTGGACGATCATTTTGATTGTATCTCTTTCCTTTAGTTGTGAAGATGTAAAAGAACAAAGCCAAGACACAATATTTTGATACAGCATGTGCTAGTTTGCTCAGGGGATTTCCACTGGTGTGCTTGCTCTCTTTGGGTGGGGCAGGAGATGCCGAAGGACCTCAGAGAGAAAACTAAATAAAGCTCCCCATGCTCAAAAGAAATGAGAAGGCTTGCCATTCCTTCTAGAGGTGATGGGGGAACAATGGTGCCTTCTCTACTTTTTTCACCCAGGTCTTGTTAGTCCTTTGGAAACTTAGAAAAGCAAGGAAGACCTGCCTCGCTCCACCTGTCCCTAGATGAGAGACATTTACTATACTGCTTTGTCATTATTGCTTTACTATACTGCTTTGTCATTATTGTCCATGAGAAAAGTAGAGAGATGAGAAAAGCAGATCAGGAAAGACACTCAGGACCCCTGAGTCTCCAACCAAGAAATCACGAACCTTGCCTTAGAGCATGGGCAAAGCAAGTCCTTTGATGAGGCAGCTTGGTTGAAGTATACATCTCTTCCCTCATCGCTTCCTTTAGTCACTACCTTTTCTCTTCCCCCTTTTATATGTTGTCTTCCTTTAGTATCGTAAGTTGCTATGATGTGTTGAATCATTAAAAAAAAGAAAGACATTTGATTGTTTCTCATGCACAAGCAGTACCCAGTGACCTAGTAAAACTCCCAGTATCAGTCATGCCTCTCCCTCCCTCCCTC